TTCTAGAAAAGGGTCACGTGTCTTTAGCACTTTATCAACTTTCTGCAATCAGAAAATGAAATCTAAAGACTCTAAAGAATACCTATTTTGATTGGATAGAGATATTATAATAGATTAAAGATGGCCATAAATTCTTCCCCATCTAGCTTCTCCTGTCCAGAGGTGGGGTGTACTTTCCCATTCCTTGAATAAAGGTTCATCTTCTGACCAGCTCTGTGGAAGCGATGTGTGACTTCCAAGTCTCAGTCTCCAAAAGGTTTGCTGCTACCTCTCCCACTTCTACTCTCATGTGAAGAAGGCTAGGATGAAAGACCGTATGAAAGGTCAGCCATCCCTGGTCCTGACACCTGAGGGACATCCAGCCCCAGGCTCCCTGCCAACTGCCTACAGAAGAACCACTCAGTCAATGCACAGAATCACGAGAAATAATAAAGCTTTGCCATCTCCAGCTACTACTTCTGGGGTGGCTCGTTACACAGCAATGGATAACTGAAATGTGTATTCTGTCAATACGTACTATGCTGATGAATAAATAAATATGTTGGTGAGATATACTTTCTTATTCACTGATGTTTCTTGGGCTTAAAAACAACAGAACATTGTTATCAAAAAGACACCAGTGGAAAGAGCTCAGGGTTTTCAAACCCAGAACCTGGGTTGAAGCCCTGGACCTGCTCTATCCCTTGTACCAAAGAGCTTTTGTGATTTTGTATGAGTCACTTAACTCTTGTTTCAACCTCTACTTTCACATCTATAAATTCCTCATGGAGTTGGAGTGTTTATAAAACAAGAGCAACGAAAGTAAAAATGCTTTGTAAATAGCAAAGCATTTTACACGTTTAAGCTGTGACTGTTACTGGTACCTCCCAGTCACTTAAAGACTTTTTGTTTTTCCTTCCCTGCAAAGACGTCATTTGCATTAGTGTATCTGTCTTATAAACTTCTGTTTAAATTCTCTTATGCACGGCAGCATTTATTCATGCCCGTACACAGAGACACTCACAAGGTGTCACGGACCCCATGGTAGTCCTGATTTTCCTTTTTTGTCACCGTGCAGTGCTTAGGCCCGGAGCCCCTACTGCTCGATCCTTTCCACCCTCTCCTGAGAGGTGTGACGAGCTGCTGCATAGTTCATGTCATGCCCTGGTGCCAAAAGAAGAGAAAAGCATAAAGAGAAATGGCAGGATGCCTGGAAAGCTAAACCAAGGAAAGAGGAAAAAAATTAATAATGGTTAAAAGTTAATTATAACACATATATGAATGATGTCTAAACGAGATAAAGTTTAGAGAACAGACACAAAAGAGCTGAAAATGAAGAATGGGCCAGAAGAGAAGGCAGGGACACAACTAGGCAAGAAGGAATAATCTAAACTTACAACCTCTTACTAGAGAGCAGTGTCTGTCTCTCGGAAGGACCCAATTCATGTCTGATGAATGACTGAACTGAAAATATGCAATTCAAGAGAAAACTCACAAATCGAGCTCACACAGAAACCAGTCATTCAGGGGCCTGAATGGGTGAAAAAGCTACTGGGAATGGCAATTTCACTTGGATTGGACCAAAGAAGAGAGGAATGTATTCTTAAGACCAGAGGGGTAAAGTCCACGAACTCCCTTTCTAGTCTATCAGAGTAGTATGAGGTTGTGAGTTTCACTTAAGGTGAATCTTTGCAGCTAAAGTTTCAGACACTTTACCTTATTCTGACCTAAATATAAAGGAATTCCCTCCCAGAATTCTCCACATAATCAGCTTTGCTCTCAAATGGCTCGAGGTCCTGAACAACACTGTTTACAAATATGCTGGTAAAAGTCAAATAATCATAACAGGATTTTATATATCCCGTAGGGCTCTACTTTATGCCTAAAAACCGTCTTTTAGATCGAGAACATCTGACATGGCTCACACACAAGAATAAAGTCGTGTAGTTTCTTCTCTTAAAATGACACCACTGTTACTACATATCAGGCTTTGTTCTTTTTATTTCCACTTTACACAATTGGTTGGGTTTTTATTCTCTTATCACCGTATGGCCTATCATCCTCCTTGATAAGTAGGAACGCAGTTAACAGGCTGAACTAGGCTGAATGGCGTTAAGCCACAGCCTGAGCGTTTCTGCATTTACCAGCTGATTTGGTATTAACAAAGACAGGAAAACAGAAGATAACGTAACTCCTGACCTCTAGAGCATCCTCTACTTGATGAGACAAGACTTTATGCACCTAATAGTTAAAAAACAATGCGTGGAAGGATATGATTAATTGATGGCATAGGGAAGAATATGTTGGGAGTTCCTAGGGGATGAAATGGGCACTGGATGAATCACAAAGACCTCATGGATAAAGCAGAATTTAACTGGAGTCCCGTAGTATGAGTGGTATTAGAAAAGGGGAATGGTAAGATAAAGGCCCGCCACACCTGAGAGATGAGTGCTGTGTCTAGAACAGAGGCTTTCCACAGTACGGGGGAGCGCTGGACTGCAGGGAAGGGGGCTGGGGGGCAAGTGCAAGGGCCTGAGAGAGTGAGACAAGGGGTAATATTACCACCCAAGAAACTAAAACGATCCATTCTGTTTTTCTTCTTCGATGTAGAAATCATCCTAAGAGTGGACCTGTTCATTTGTTTATTTGTTCAATAATAAATGTAGGTCAACTATTCTATGTAGGTACCAGAGGCTATAAAATACTTTCTTTTCTTGAGAATCACACAGAATACAGTAGGCTGGCAAAAATAAAAATCAGTGACTTCTCTGCCTTATGAAGAGTGCTATGATGAAGGTCATGGAGAGGGGTATACAAGCCCTTGTTTGGGGCCGAGGACCGAGAAGGTGGTGATGGTCCTGAGAGAGGGAAGAGCAGCCCAGGTGGATGGGGAAGGTGAAGGCGACCCAGGAAGAGGCACCTGCAGAGACCCAGAGCCTAAGTGGGGCCTCACGCAGGGGAAATGAGGCTGCGTGTGGGGAAGGGTGGGGGAGCAGGACGGCTCACTGACTCTGCAGCGCAGGAAACTGCAGAGCGGTGGGAACACATCCCCTCTCTGCAAATAATTTACAGTGGGACTGTGAATGGCTTCCTCCTCCTTGTTTTCAGTTTCTTCGTCAGAGGCCCATTGAACTCTGGCCATTCTACAGTTCTGGATGCCAAAGTCAAGTTACATCCCATACGGTGACGACCATCCTGAGGTTGACATTTACTAGACTCTCGGAAGCTTGAGGATAAAATGGCAAGCATCTAGTTCACCCTCCTTTTCAGTCTAACATCTCTTCTAAGCATTCCTGGCAGGTGGCCATCCAGACGGAAAGAAATCTATCTGGCTCCCGGGACTTCAGTCTGCCTCGAGAAGCAGCCGGATTCACTGATGAACATCACTAGTTGTGACAAAGTCTTTTTCCTTAAACTGAGACTAAATGTCTTCCTGTAGCCACCTACCCATTTTCGGCCCCTACGGAGACGCAACACACAGCCTACTGTGCCTCCCATGTGCAGAGGGGGCCATACTCACTCAGAACAGTGAACTGAGAAGTGTCCCTTTTCCTCACTGAAGGACTTCATTAACCACTGGCTGCCTTTGGATTAATTAGGTTCTCCAATAGCACGCACCACCTTCCTTTCCAGGGAGACCTTACAGGGACATCTGTTACTGTTAGTGACGCTCCATTTATCTTCTTTACTGATTGGTAATACCTTATGTTTGCACAATATTTCACCCTTTTCCAAGCATCTCCACATAAATTATCACATTCTAATGTCATGGGAAGGTTGCTGCACCACTGTTAGTATGTTATCTTCCTAAAAATCTTCTTATCTGCTTTATAATAGAGCATAAAGAATATGCCTGAGAGAATCCTAGGTTTCTGACAGAACAGAGGTAAAGAGATACCAAAGATCTAACATATCTCATTAGAGGGAAGAAGAAAAGGCCAATTGTCAGAACGAACTCTGGATGTTTCCTTCAATTACGAACACAGATCTAATACTTACCTTAACTAGGGACCACACATACTCCTAGCTTATCAAACCACTTCTATAAACACAGTTACTAAGGTCACAAACCTTGATGCCAGGTGCCTGGCACTGGGACTGGGGGAGAAAAGGTTAGAAACGGAGTAAAATGAGGCACCGTTTTAACTCTTCATATTAAATGTAAAGCAAATGTTGAAAGAAATAAGACAAATGAGTCATAAAGATGACGTAGTGGCCTGTGAAACATGGAGGGGAGGTCGTGGCAGAGAAGAGGGGTAAGTATCCCAGGGGGCGGGGGTGACTCGGACTGCGAACCCCACATCTCCAAGCATAGTCCTCCCCAAAGTAAAATGGGAAGGGCCAGCTCTAGTGGAGCTTTGTAGACTCACAGGACAGGACTCAGAGCTCCTCATGTTCTGAGAAAGCCTAGTTCTCTACGGCTAAGTGAATGCCCTGCTACTAGGATTCAAATGACAGCAGCATTTTCTACCCACCAAGTCAAAGAGAGATGTGTGTGTTACCCCACAAAGCATTATAATAATTCAGACCCCCCCTTGGCCTCAGCAAGGAGTGGGTCTGGTTAGATGTGTGCTTCCAAGTGTCAAGAGTCCCTGGGGAGTAATCTCTGAAGCATGCAATGTTTCATCACAGTGAACACGCTGTTTAAGCAGCTACAAGATTCACGGTAGAGGATCAAATGACGTGCCTGCTATTGATAGATATACCTCCCTGTCTGCCTCCCTCTCTACATGCAGAGGGGCTTGTTTGCCTGGCCGGTTCCCAGCCTTTAAAAGTGCACCAGCAGCCACACAGGAAGAATCTATAAGGATTAACGACTTAACCTGATGACACCTGGCTTTGATCCGAGGAAAGATGTATGTAAATACCAAGTAATAGTAACGGTTCAGTGATTTCTCCAGAGAAACAGGGAAGTATTAGGTTTCCCATGGGAAAACAAACTGCATACGCCAAACTGTACTTCAGAGGATGCTAATGTACAAGACAGAGGAGAGAGCTGGACACGCCAGGGACAAACGAACCTCGTGGGCAGAGTACAGCAGCCGTCCGCTGTGAGTCTGACTTGGGTTTCGTAGCTGTCCAGGGGGCACACGGCCTGCTGGACAGAGGGGCACTCCACGGTGCTGCAGTCCACGCTGAAAACTAGAAGAGACAAACAGAGAGGGACTGTTTAGTGTTACGTTTACTCCCTTTTGGAGTCCCAGAATGAAACGCTGGCTCTTGACACATTTCCAAACTTTCCCTGCCTCTCAGAAACCCAGTCCTACTGCGGCATTTTTATTTTAGTCAATGCCTCAGAACTGTAGTGCCCCCCGGTTTCTATGTTAGTAAAAAGGTGAGGATAAGATGTTTAGGAGTTCAGATAAAGATAGAAAGAGTTAAACCAACAGTGGTTACGTGGCTGGTGAGGGCCTGCCGGAAGTATTTCTGATAGAACGAGAGATGAATGAGGGACTGTTTTGCTTGAAAGCATTTACCTAACAAGAAAAAAAAACCCTAAACAAAACAAAAACAACTAACCAGTGATTAGAAACTTGCAAAAGCAAATCACTATGATCCAGACATGGTCACAGACCACAGGAGAAAGCTTCCGTCAGAGCAAGGATGTTAGACATGATATAAAGCCAGAAATACCTGGGATATGACAACAAACGCAGAGAAGGTGAGTGAACAGTCAGTGACGACTCAGCACATGCTGTAAAGTCGGGACGGACGGGGGAAGGAGCAAGACTGGGGCTGAATCCTGCATGATACAACTTCTGGCATTTTGATGCATATATATTGACCTAAAAACAACTTTCTGTTGTATGTATTATGAGTGCTTTCAAATGTAATACTTTAAAGTGGCAGACTTATCTGCAAATGTAGGCTCTGACCTTCACTGGGGAAATGAAGCAAGTATCCGTAGGACCTTAAATTTTAACCCTACCTCCCCCATCAAGTGTTCTTTGAAGGAAAAAAAAAAGACGACTCTGAAGGCACTGATGTCACAGTGGATTATCATTCTGGTTTTCTAACTTGAAGGCCAGAAGTCAGGCTTGCCATTAGCCCGAAGCAACAGAATTGCAGCATACTGGTGAGAAAACCATCTTCCTGTGAAAGGAGAGGCCAGGGGCTGAGGGGGAACCTGCCACCCTCTGACGCACAGGAGCGAGGCTGCTGAGACAAGCTCATGCATACCTGGTTTGCACTCATACAGGTCACAGCACTCCCCCGGCTTCCCTGAGGCTTTTGACACTAGTATGTTCAGGTATCCCGGCTGGCAGACTTTGCGCAGGCAGCCGGCCGGGTCGCACACGCAGCGGCTGGGTAAAGGGCAGCATTCCCCGGGAGGAGCATAGCCCTCGATCAGAACAGAATCTTCCGGACAACGTGGAGAGAACTGGACTTCACAGCGGGCCTTGGAGCAATCTGGCTTCTCTTCTAAATGGGAGAGAAAGAATTTAGCTTCTGCCCAGGGCAGTGTGGGGCACTTCTGTCAGAAGCATAGACAGTCCTGATGGTCTATTTACTAATCAAAGAGAAGGGCAGAGAAAGAAATTTGGGTGAAAACACTCAGACCTAGTTGATCCAACAATGAAAACCTCACCCACGATCTGCCTAGCACACCAGTATGAGCCAGAGTTCCCTTATTGGTCTTATCACTCGCCCGTGTTGAGCAATCAGTGTCTAGTATCAGGACCAAAGTGAAGACAGGCAAAGGAAGACGTGTCCATGATAGAGAACCTGAACACAGGACACAGTTAGAGACTAACTGAAAGATCTGTGAATTCGAAAGAGTTATAGGGGCTACTCCTTTGCATACAGTGTGTATTTAAAACACCAAGTTAGAGACCCTCAAACAAGCCATAGCTACTTTAGGGATTATAGACCACATGCAAGACAATCAATGTGGAAGATCTGTATCTCCAAACTCTGGGTTTCCCTGAGAGGAACTCATTAAGATTATATGATTCTACGACGAGGCAGCCTAACAAGATGGATAATGAGCCAAATTCCCATATAATTTCCCTAAATGTCTGCTGGTGTGTTTCTATGTCTAGCGAAGATCCATCAAACGCACCTGTGCCCCTTTCTCTGCTGTCTGCTGACCTATTTATTGGCTATGCCCCAATTTTAGAGATGAGAAAAATACAGCAAGATTGGTATTCCCCAAAGATTTTAGGATTGGATAGCAAAACCTTATTAGCTTTTGGAATCCCAGTCCACAATTCGGTTTCTTGGTTTAAGTTTTTAAGAGACCCATATCAACACAAGGTCGTGGCAGAAAAACTGATCTGAACCAAAAGTTCATCGTCATAGCCTGTGGCCTTTGGTGGGAGTCCAGGAAATTGTGAGTGAAAATGATGCCTTATAATATAGGGATACATTTCCATAAATAAATGTCTTTCCTAAAGTAAAACCCAAACACAGAATTACGTGGTAGGGCTGGACCCACGAGGTCACCTAGTTTTAGTTTTCTCATTTTGTAGATAACCTAAAAGAGTCAAGTCAGCAGTCAAAGGTCAGCAGTCAAATTAAAGCAAGAAACCAGGCCTCCTCATTTCCAGTTCACTCAGATCTTGATATCACAAAAGGAGATCTCTTTCCAATACCACGCCTGTTCCTCCAGTCATTTTCTACCTTAATTGCGCTATCTTTCATCTTGCTTGTCTGTTCCTTCCCTAATTAAGACATAGTATAGGAGATCCCTCCTACTCACAGTTCCAGTAAATTTGTTCAAACATATGCATGGAGCACCTGCTGTTCCAGCAGCCTGAGAGCGTCAGGAAAGAGAACGATTCAAGAAAAAGAATGAACATGAATCCCCGTCCCTGCTAGTTTATGTGGCAGTGGAAGGTGAAGGAAAATAAAAAATTAACATTACAAATAAGCAAATTATACAGTCGTGATGGGTGATGAGGGCTACAGGGCAGAAGACAACAGGGTTGGGGGGACAGGAGTACGTGGGAGGAGGTGTGTGGTTACAGTTTGGCCAGAATGGACATGGAGCAGCTGATGGCTGAGTGAAGACTTGAAGCCGTAAAGGGGGGAGCTGTGGAGACAGCTGGGAGAAGAGCATCCCAGGAGAGGGAATGACCAGTACACGCCCCTGTGTCCTGGGAAGAGTAGAGAGGCCGGTGTGGGCGCCCACTGGGGCGGACTGAGTATGCTTACAGCAGAACAGGTGATGAGCTGAGATAGGACAAAGCAGCAGCTGATTACTGCCAGCTTTAACTTTAAAATATTAAAGACTGGCTTTCACGATGATGAGATAAGTTGGAGTTTTGATTATTCAGGAGGAGGTAGGGAATTAACTCAGAAAACAGGCCCCTCCTTGGAACAAAAGGACTCTGGGATCCTGGGTAACAGCAGGCTATCTGGGGACAGAGGAGGCACGGGAGGCTGAAAGGCCATTTGGAAAGAAGAGTAGGTAGATAGAGAGACAGCTGGGGAGAGGGAGTGTTGGGGATGGAGATGGGGCAAGGCAGTTAGTTCACGTGGACTTAACTCACACCGCCCTCCCTGTTGGATGGATGCTACTTCCCTGCACCTGGGCCTTAGCCCAGGGCAACATTCAGCTGCAGGACTCTGCTCTGCTTTCAGGCCACCATCAACATACCCAAATCCAATAATTCACTTAAAGAAGAGTGGAAAGATGAACAGCCTTGGTTCCAAGAACAGACTTCATTCACACACACATCATGTGCTCAAGTCACATAACCCCAGAAGGTGAGTTATTACTTACTTCATTTTATAGATGATGAAACTTTGGTTAAGACAGGTCAAGTTATTTGCCCAAGGTCACACAAGAGAGTCCATGGTGATGTGAGGGTCTGAACCTTGGTCCACCTGCTTCCGACTACACTCCCCTGTAATAATGTGCCTCCTGTCCCAGGCATCACGAGTGCTGTTTGTGTTCAATCTTGCCCTTAACCTTCTCTTACCCTTATTTTGATTTCTGGGGACTCTGCTTCTTCTCTGATCAGAGCTATGGTTTCCGTCAAAACTACCCCACTTAGCGGGAACTCTGCTCCCTCTCAGCTACCCTTGTCTCACTGAGCTTACAGAACCAATACTCAAAAGCACCTGGGTCAAACAGGAACTACCTCTAGTTTGAAAGGCTCCATCTACCCCACTTTCATATCATAACCCCAGGAAACTGTCTTGAGAAGAGAACATGATTAAAGCAATGAGGAATTCCATTCTCAGCTCCCCAGCAGTGTGGCACAGAATAAATCAAAGAGCTGGGAAAGAGAAGGTGAATCTTCACTGGATGGGTATTAAGTTGGAGTTCGTAAAGTACATTCAGTAGACTGCTTATCTGGCAAACACATTGTTTTGTAATTAAGAAAAGCTCTGTGACTTTAATTGCAAATAGCACTTAATTGCTACTCTTGTTAGTTTGTGGTAATTAACTTAGATTGTATTACATCCTATTACATTCTTATTCTACAAAATATTTGCTATGGATATCCAGAATTTTCAAACATATGCTTCAATTAATCATGTTTCCATTAAAATCCAACATATTAGATCTTGCTAGTTATTTCACTTTCTTTGTGGTAGTGTCACCTCTTGACGTATGTTTTGCAGTTCAAGCCTGAAGAGATTTATTTCTTAAGCACTGCTTTTGTAACCCAAGTGGCATAGGGCAGGCTACCAGAGGCACTGTGAGATCCATGCATAAATCAGAGTTTTAGAGCTTGAAGGGATCTAAGAATGTTAAAAATGAAGGTAAAATCTCACTAAAATGGTTTTTCAGCTTTTCTCAAGGTGCTCATCCTGGTGTTCTCTTTGTCAATATAATCAGTTAAAATTTTAAACCACTCTTGTGTTCTAAGAATAAACTTTTTTTTTTCTAAAGATCCTGTTGGATGTGACTTCCTAATACTTAAAACATTTTTTAGTTTATAAACTTGAGAAACAGCAGTCTTTAGTTCTGGTTTTTCTCAAGCTGGCCTTTCCCACTCTTCCTTTCAGCCACACTAACTCTTTGATTGAGCTAGTTCTCATTCTACTCTTTCCCTGCTGGAAAATCACTGAAATAACACAGGAACTACCTGTTCTTTGATGTTGTCATACAACCCTCCTGTGAAATTATAGGAACTTGAAATATTTTTTAAAGGGGGAAAAAAGCAGATTTTTTTTCCCCCTTGGGTTATTAGATTATTCAGGAGTCCCATCTTTTTAAGAAGCATCTTTATTAACTTATATTTTAGTTAAGAGTGTATAATTCACCTAGATTCAAATTCATTTCAGACTTTTATTGACCAATCTCTCTTCTAGGTAGTTTTATATGTCTATTACTTAAGTTTCTGAGTCTCTTCCTTTTCTGTCTTTTGAGTGATTGTAGTAGTTTTTCCCCTAGTGTTTTCAGATTAATGCTTAGTTTACCATTATTCCTTCCTTGTTTTCTTAGAAATACAAATAATTTTAATTATGATTTTATTACCTTAGTCAAATATCACTTTGGTTATATTCTAATTTGGGATATGTATTGCTCTCTCAACATAACTTGCTTCTAAATAATCTGTATTTCAACTTTGATTTCCTCTTTAAGGACTTTTTTAGAATAGAACTATTAAATTTCTGCATATGTAGATTTTAAAGGGCTTTCCTTTTCATTTTAATTTACAGTTCTACTGCCTTGTTGCCAGACAATGGCGCCTGTACCATTTTCTACTTTTGTTAACTTCCCTTTTCCTATTTTTGTTTATTGGCACATGTGTGTGTAGGTGTGGCCTTATGGACAATTTTAAAATAGATGGGCATCTGAAAAGAACACATACGCTCTGTTTATTATATAAAAACTTACAGAGCTATTCAATCAAGCCTCTTAATTATGACACTCTCATCACCTTGTAACTCACATTGTTGAACTGATTTCTAAGAGGGATCTATAAAAATCTTCTACTATGAGCCAGGAACTTCTCTTTTTATTTCTAAGAGTTTTTACTTTAATTGTTCAAAGCTCTACTGTTAACTTTGTGAGCAGCAGAGGCATAAGATTCGAGCCTGTTATATTGACTTGGCATGTAGTAAAATTAAGCTTTCAAAGAATTCAGATTTCTAAAATCCCTTTCTTCTTATTTAGTAATTGTCAAGATTCTTAGCTTTAATTTTCTCTTTAAATCCTCTAGTCAGCTTTCCATCGATAAACTGGAACCCTCACCAGCATCTTTCCCTCCCCCCAGCCAGTCCTCTGCTCCTCACTTAAACTCAATATGGTTACCATGGCAACAGGAATTGTTTTTCTGATACCTTCTTTTCTCAGCTTTTTTCTATTCTGAACAAATTCTCTCAGATTTTATTTATTCATCTAGGTCTCCCTTCCATCTTCTATGGAGAAAATAAGGAGAAAAACTATAGCCACACTATGAATTTTCTATCAATCAAAAGGGCTTTATGATATTATTTTTGGATTTTTAATTTTACCTACT